GTTGGCCATGTGAGAAAGGACAACAGTGTTACGAAGAATGGGGGCTTTGGGTCACATGGTATCAATTGACCTGGACACAGATTAATAACATGGTCAATTAAGGAGTCATTCCCACAGCTAGAGCTCTCATAAAAACTAAAAAATTGAGGCTCAGGTGACTTTGCATGGCTGGCAGTACTCCATGCATTTTATCACACATTGATGTCAGGAGAGTAATACATCCTGACTCTATGAAAAAAGACATGGAAGTTCCATATTTGGTATTTCTCCCAATGTGTTTCTTCTTTAAGTTGATTTTAATTTGTATCTTTTTTTCCTATAATAAACTGTAACTGTGAGAACAATAGCTTTCTGAGTACTAGTGAATTTTGAGCTTGAGAGTGGTTTTAAACTCTCAGTGTCAGTTGGCTTTAGTTGGTTTGGGGAGCTTATAGTTTATGTCACAGTTGAGGGTAGTTTTCGGAGAAATTGTACTCTCTAACTTTGTAGTTAGTCAAAACTCCTACAAAATCCTACTCCCAAAAAAGAGTCTATTACTAAGAACATTGCACATCACAGTATCAAAGAAGAAAATGCCCTTGAACTGGGATTTCTACTAAAGTTACCCCAAATTGCGCATCCTTCTCTAATGACATTTTATCCTGGTGTAGAAAAAAATCTAAGACTTAAAACAATTAACAGAAAATAGTAGGAAAATATATATATAAGCAAAACAGTCAGACAACAAAAAGAAATAAAAGACATCCAAATCGGCAAAGAAAAAGTCAAATTTTCACCCTTTGCAGACAACATGATACTCTATGTAGAAAACCCAAAAGACTCCACCAAAAAATTGCTAGAACTGATACAGGAGTTCAGCAGAGTTGCACTATATAAAATCAACACACAGAAGTCTGCTACATTTTGATACACTAACAGTGGAGCAGCAGAAAGAGAAATCAAGGAATTGATCCCGTTTACAATTTCACCAAAAATCATAAGATACCAAGAAATAAGCCTAACCAAGGAGGTAAAAAGATCTGTACTCTGAAAGCTGTAGAACACTTACGAAGGAAATTGAGGGAGACATAAAGAGATGGAAAAATGTTCCATGCTCATGGATTGGAAGAACGAATATTATTAAAATGTCTATTCTGCAGTAAATTATATATTAAATTAAATATAAATATATAATATATATAATTATATATATTAATATATATATATAAATTAAATATATTAAATACACATTTAATATATTCCCTATCAAAATATCATCAGCATTTCTCCCAGAGCTGGAACAAACAATCCTAAAATTTGTATGGAATCAGAAAAGACCCCAAATAGCCAAAGTAATGCTGAAAAAGAGAACCAGATCTGGAGGCATCACAATTCCGGGCTTCAAGCTGTATTACAAAGCTGTAATCATCAAGGTGGCATGGTACTGGCACAAAAACAGACACATGAGACCAGTGGAACAGAATAGAGAACCCAGAGATGGACCCTCAGCTCTATGGCCAGCTAATCTTTGACAAAGCAGGAGAGAATATCCAATGGAAAAAAGTCCCTTCAACAAATGGTGTTGGGAAAATTGGACAGCCACATGCATAAGAATGAAACCAGACCACTTTCTTGCACCATACATGAAGATTAATTCAAAATGGATGAAAGATGTAAATGTGAGACAAGAATCCATCAAAATCCTAGAGGAGAACACAGACAGTAACCCTTTGGACATTGGCTGTAGCAGTTTCTTACTAGATATGTCTCCTGAGTCAAAGGAAACAAAAGCATAAATGAACTGTTAGGACTTCATCAAAATAAAACTTCTGCACAGCAAAGGAAACAATCAACAAAAGTAAAAGGCAGCTTACGGAGCAGGAGAAGATATTTGCAAATGACATACCTAGGGTTAGTATCCAAAATCTTTGAAGAACTTAACCAAACTAAACACCCAAAAAACAAATAATCCAGTTAAGAAATGGGGAGAAGACATGAATAGACCACTTTTCCAAGGAAGACACCCAGATGGCTAATAGACACATGAAAAGATGTTCAGCATCACTCATCATCAGGGAAATACAAATCAAAACTACAATGAGATATCACCTCACACCAGTTGGAATGGCTATACTTGACAATGCAAGAAACAACAGGTGTTGGGCAAGGATGAGAAAAAAGGGGAACCCTCTTATACTGTTGGTGGGTGCAAACTGGTATAGCCACTCTGGAAAACAGTATTGAGATTCCTCAAAAAGTTAAAAATAGAGCTACTCCATGACCCAGCAATTGCACTACTAGGTATTTACCCAAAGGATACAAAAATACTGGGGCGCCTGGGTGGCTCAGGGGGTTAAAGCCTCTGCCTTTGGCTCAGGTTGTGATTCCGGGGATCCTGAAATCCAGCCCCACATCGGGCTCTTGGCTCGGTGGGAATCCTGCTTCCTCCTCTCTCTCTGTCTGCCTCTCTGCCTACTTGTGATCTCTGTCAAATAAATAAATAAAATCTTAAAAAAAAAAAAACCCTACAAAAATACTGATCCAAAGAAAGGGATACACGCATCTGATGTTTATCACAGCATTATCAACAGTACCCAAATTATGGAAAGGGCCAAAATGTCCATTGATTGATGAATGGATAAAGAAAATGTGGTATATATATCCAGTGGAATATTTCTCATTCATAAAAATGAATGAAATCTTGCCATTTGCAACGACACCGGTGGAGCTGATAGTATTAGGCTAATTGAAATAAGTCAGTCAGAGAAAGACAATACCATATGATTTCACTCATATGGAATTTAAGAAACAAAACAGATGAACATAGGAGAAAAAGTGGAAAAGGGGGCTAACTGGAAAACAGATCGTTCACTGTAGAGAACAAACTGATGGTTACTGGAGGGAAGATCGGTGGGAGGATGGGTTAAATGGGTGATGGGTATTGAGGGCATTTATTGTGATGAACACTGGGTTTTGTATGTAAGTTACAAAATACAAAATTCTATACCTGAAACTAATGTTATACTATATGTTAATTAACTGGAATTTAAATAAAAACTTGAAGGAAAAAAAAAGCTAAAACCTTGGAAACAAAGATCTCCATTACCTAGGTTAGATAATGGTTTCTTTTATATGACACCAAAAGCACAAGCAACCAAAGGAACAAAAATTATATAAATCGGATTTTAGCAAATTTAAAAACTTTTGAGCTTCAGAAGACACCATGAAATAAGTGAGAATACCATCCACAAAACGGGACCAAAATGTGCAGATTATATGTTCAATTAAGGAAGTGTATTTTAGGATATAGGATTTAGTGTAATTTAGGATATATGAGGAATTATTACAAAGCAACAATAAAAAGACAATCAGGTTTTCAAAATGAGTGAGTAATTTGAAAACATATTTTTCCAAAGAAGAGATAGAAATGGTTAATATCATCAGGGAAATGCAAATCAAAATCACAGTGATATACCACTTCAAATTTACAAGAATGACTATAACCCCAAAAGGTGGTGAGGATGTGGGATAATTGGAACTTTGACAGATTTTTGCTGGAATTGTAAGATGATGCAGCTGTTTTTGGAACAGAATTGGGCAGTTCCTGAAAATGTTAAACATAGAGTTACCATATGATGCCACAAATCCATTTCTAGGTATATCTAAGAGAAATGAAATATATGTCGACACAAAAACACATAGCTAAATGTTCTCAATAGCATTACTTATAGTAACAAAAGATGTAAACAGTGCAAATGTCCATCAACTGATGAATGGGGGAAAAAGATCCATACATTGGAATGTTATTTGGCAATATGTAGGCATGAAGTTCTGATGCTCGCTGAAACATAGATGAACCTTGAAACATTATTGTATGTGAAAGAAGCCAGTCACAAAAGACACATATTGTATAGTTTCATTTATACAAACTGTGTACAATAGGCAAATCTGTAGATACCAAGAGTAGATTAGATTAGTAGATTGTGGTTTGCAGGATCTGCGGAAATGAGAATGGAAGTTAATAGCTAACGCTTATGGGCCTTATTTTTGGATAAAGAAAGTATTCTAAAATTAGATAGTGGTGATGGTTGCACATTTCTGTGAATATATTAAAAGCCATTAACTTGTATTTTTAAGAGTATGAATTTATAAAATGTGAATTATATGTTAGTAAAGCTGTTAGAAAAAGAAATGAAGATGCTAGAGCTGGTGGGGGTAGAGAATGGTGGTGGTGGTGGTGGTGGTTACATTCACAGACCTGTTTGCTAATCAATTAAATGTTAATGTGATTAAGGCATTGAGCACATGATATGCTTGGTGGAAATTATTTCTTGTATAGCCACTTTCTTAAACCATCTTTAGCTGGACGTTTAGAGACAAAATGATGTTAAGCAGAGTTCCAAAATTTAGCTAAGGCCATGATTCAGTGCAATAGGCAGTTGTTTTCTCTTAGAAAGTGCTTTGGACTTGTTCCTTTGTTACTGGGTGAGTGTAGTGAGATTTTATGTGGCCTAAATGAAGCCTGTGTTTTGTATTCACCATGCTTTCTTGCATTGGAATGTGAGAAGGAGCCAGGAAAGCACCTGAGCTATATAGTATGTTGAAACTGGGAGAAAGAGGCAGATCTTAGTAATTGGAAAGTGTTTTTCCTAGGAATTGGCCTATATAGATACAAATGATTTCAAAGCCTGAGGGCCCCATCGGTGTCCTTTAGGTGGGTACTACTTGGGTAAATTTGGATCAGGGTCCCCTAGGTTATAAAAGATGAACTGCTAAGACCAGGTCAGGAAATCCTAACAACATCATGGGGATTGGGTACTGGTTTAGCATAAATTAATTCTTCTACATTTCTGTTTTCTGGAATTGGGGAAGGTGATGATTGTTTAGGCTTCTGTAGATCTCAGTATATATTTTGGGGTGTGAAAGGGTCCAGGCATCATGACAAGAGGAGGTGATACTTAAGTTAGTCACTTAGAAGTAGGCCTCTTTTCATGGTTTCCTTTTTCTCCCTGTCTTCTCAGGACTGCACTTCTCCATGAGGAGAAGCCAGAGGAGGACTCATAAGTTGCAATTCTAAGCCATGCCTTGTGTGAGTTCATGTTTCTTCTTCCCCTTTATATCAGACAGTCATTGTTTTCTAGGATATGAATGTTCAATGTTCTTATTTACTTTCTGCTTCACCAAGTGTTTCTTCTCCTGCTCACTCTCATTCTAGTGAATGATGGGAATGAGTTCCAGGTCTTTCTAAACTGCCCTTCTCTTCTCTAACAGTGTTTTAGGGATCCATTTGCAAATCATGAAATGTATTTGAGGAAAGTGTAGAACCTCTCCTGTCAGAATGTGGTTTGATGAGATGGTACGACACATGAAAAACTTGGTCTTTCTCATTGACCTGGATTTTCTCACGGGTTAAGATGGAAATTGGTGGTAGTTTCAGAATGTGGTGAGATCTGCTCTGTGAAGCTTTTAAGATTGGAAATGTGATCAAATGCAGGATTGAGAACAGAGAGAGAATTATGTCGGGGTTAATACAATGACAAGGTACATTTTGAATTTGAATAATATGTATAGGTCAGGGACCACATCTGTGTGAGTGTAGCTCATCTTTCTAGCTTTCTGTTGCTCATAATAAGCAGAAGTGTACAGTGAGCAGTGGTAAGTGGTAATATGATCAGCCAGATGATAAAATGGTTGAGGATTTAAGAAACAGCTGTGAAGGATGTTAGAAGAGGAATGCAAACTACTGCAAAATAAGAAAATGATTATGATCATAATATGGAATATTATCTAAAAATATTACCTAAAAATGATATCTGTGAAAGGGTTTGCCAGAACTAGGAAGAGAGAATATTATTACTAAATTATTCTAAGACTTAACTTGGAAAGAAATTGTGAAATCATATGTAAATTTTATTTTATAAGATAAACATTTTAAAAGACAATTTGGAATGTGCCCATCAGGTTTCTTTTTTTTTTTTCCCCCTCCTTCTTGCCTTCTAGCACTCCTTTTTCCCTGCCCTTCTTTTCTTTATATTTTTGGTTCTTCTTCTTCTTTTTTTTTTTTTAATTTAGTTTATTTATTTGAGAGGGAGAGACAGAGAGAGCATGAGCAGGGGTAGGGACAGAGGGAGAAGGAGAAACAGGCTTTCTCCTGAGCAGGGAGTGTGACACGGGGCTCAATCCCAGGACCCCAGGATCATGACCTGAGTTGAAGGCGGATGTTTAACCAACTGAGCCACCCAGGCACCCACTTCTTTAAAGGGACGGGGAAGAAGGAACTTTCAGTTTATTTGAGGATTTGCATGTGTTTTATGCTAGCACACATTATTTAATTTAATCACAAAACTACACTTACCTGGCTTTTGTTCATTCCCTTTGCTGTTCCCAAGAGGCTATGTGATAGAGTAACAGGAATATTCAAGAATTGTTTAGGTGCTCTGTATTTCCCACTCACTTCCCTTCTTTTACCTACCCTCATTGCAAGCTTCTGTCTTCAATGTATTTTTCACTGTTTTGGACCCTGTATGTAATACTTTTCTCCTCCTCTTATTATTGTGTGTTGTGTGTGTGTTGTGTGTTCATTACTTTTAAATAATATTTCTTTATTTTGCCATTAACACCTGGACTTGTCATTTCAGAGATTGGTGTTGTTCAAAGATGTGGCCATAGACTTTTCCCAGGAGGAGTGGGAGTGCCTGGACTTGGAACAAAAGGACTTGTACAGAGATGTGATGTTAGAAAACTATAGCAACCTGGTCTCACTGGGTGAGTTTGGTCCCAATAATTCGACTTCAGTCTTTGTGAAATTTAGGAACTATTTCAAGTACCTAGCTGAATTTCACCCAAGTTATTTGTGGCTTATAGACTTTAAAGTGGACAGCTCCATTGAGTATCTTTATCTTTTCTATTCTTCAGATATCCTTCCTCTGAATTTTTAAAAAAGATTACATATTCATGGGGTGCCTAGGGGCTCAGTGGGTTAAAGCTTCTGCCTTCAGTTCCGGTCATGATCCCAGGGTCCTGGGATCGAGCCCTGGATTGGGCTCTCTGCTCAGCAGGGAGCCTGCTTCCTCCTCTCTGCCTGTCTCTCAGCCTACTTGTGATCGCTATCAAATAAATAAATAAGTAAATCTTAAAAAAAAAAAAAAGATGACGTGTTTATTTGTTTGAGCGTGAGAGAGTGACAGAGAGAGCATGTGAATGCACAAGGTGAGGGGAGGGGCAAAGGGAGAGGAAGAAGCAGACTCCTCACTGAGTAAGGAGCCCAGTGCCCGGCTGGATCCCAGGACCCTGAAATCGTGACCTCAGCTAAAGGCCAGCGCTTAACCCACTGAGCCACCAAGGTGCCCCACTCTCTGAATCTTTCTGTAATTTACCTTCTTACTTCATGAAAAATGGACTCAATTTTAATTCTGGGCAAGCAGAGTATAATTATATCTTTTTCCATTCTTATAAGCAGGATTTTCCATTTCTAAAGCAGATGTGCTTTCCTTATTGAAGCAAGGGAAAGAGCCCTGGAAGGTTGTGCAGGATGTGTCAAGAAGTCAGAGTTCAGGTGAGTAAGAGATGATTAAACAAGGGGAGGCCATTGTGGAGAACAGTCAAATCGTTTAATTTGTTGGCTACAGCTTTGAGATAATAGCTGAGAAGTTCTCCTCAAAGACCAGACCAAGACCTGTGGAGTAGAAGCTTGAAGGAATACTGGAAGGCAAAATAGCTTTAGCATCAGTTACCAAAGGAAACCCCTTCTTCACCCCATTTACCACTTCCTTGTTTTTCTTTTACATTCCCTTATATTTTCAAATAGGGAATAGCCCTCCTTCTTCAGTGATAACAATTTTTTACTTATATTTTTGATCCAGTGAGTGAGGGATAATAAAAGTTGAAAATGAAGTCCACCTGGGTGGCTCAGTTGGTTGGGCCACTGCCTTCGGCTCTGGTCATGATCTCAGAGTGCTGGTATCAAGTCCTGCATCGGGCTCCCAGCTCCGCGGGAAGTCGGCTTCTCCCTCTGACCTTCTCCCCGCTCATGTTCTCTCTCACTCTCTCTCTCAAACAAATAAAATCTTTAAAAAAAAAGTTGAAAATGAAGAGGTGGGGCTAGGTCATGTAGGGACATGTATGCCATGACAAAAAAATTAGGATTACATTGAAACTACAGTAATGATTGGCTGGTTTCACGCAGGAGAGTGATGTGGTTAAACTTGTTATTTTCAAAGACAACTCTGGATACTGTATAGAAAATAAAATGGGAACAAGAGTGAAACAGAAAGACCTACCTTAGATATCTCTCCCCTTTCTCACTAGACTCCAGCCACAGGAGCCTTCATTCATTATCTCAGATACATCTAGTATCTACATATCTAGTACATGTGCTCCACCCTCTTACATCACTCACTCTGTCTGGAATGCCCTACTCATCTAACTAACTGCTCTGCTTCTTTGGGTCTCAGCCTGTATATCTCATTGCATCCCGAGAAATCTTCCCTGATCTCATTCTCAGTAATGATATTTTAGGTTTTCTTACAGTAATTTCTGAGCTATAATCGTATAATAGTAATCCTCATAAGACCATTCCTCTTTGGCCGCAACACACCTGTAAAGGAGATCTGCAGAAGTCAGTGTGCCTCTGATTTAAGTGAGCCTTCAAAATCCTATGTGCTCTTGGTAAAATATGTCTTCCGTATTTTAAAAAAAAATTGTGCTTGATGTTACATTTTCCATTCCATTACTCTGCTCTCGTTGATAGCCATAAATAAGCTATACTTCTTCACCTCCCATTCTTCCTTGCTTCTTTCAGCTACAGGTATAGCCATTGCTGGATGCCTTTTCTCTTCCTCGCTGGACAGTTTTATAACACGCCCAAGAAATTACTTATTTTAAAAAATTAGATTGTAATGCATTTCATACTTTAGACATAGAAGAATCCCCTTGATCTCTAATTGATGCCAGACTCATTTAATAAATTTGGTATCTCTTAGTCTAATTTTTTAAAAAAGATTTTTATTATTTATGTATTTGTCAGAGAGAGAGAGCACAAGCAGTCAGAGTGGCAGGCAGAGAGAAGCAGGTTCCCCACTAAGCAAGGAGCCCGATATGGGACTTGATCCCAGGACCCTGGGATCATGACCTGAGACGAAGGCAGTGGCTTAACCAACTGAGCCATCCAGGCATCCCTACTTAATCTAGTTTTTTATATGGATTGCGATCTCTTTACTTCTTGTTCTACCACACTGGCCCAACTCAAACTTCTTCAGTTGAAAGGAGAATACAAACATCAGGTTCCAAATTTGCTCTGGCTCCTTACAGGGAGCTTTAGGGGAAGCGAGTGTTCTTATTTACAGAATTTTCATTTAGTCAGTATTGCTAACATTAAAAAACCAGCCACATAATTTTTAAAAATCTATTTGAATAGTGAAATACACAGGAGGGTGCATAAAACATTTGTACAGTTTGATGAATAACCACCCATGACAAGAAACAGAACATTGCCAGGACTCCAGAAATACCCTATGAATATATATATTTATGACCTATGTATACATTTCAAAAAGTATTGTTTAATTTTGTCTGTTTTAGAATTTAGGTGAGTGACATCATATTGTACGTATTCTTTTGTGTAGTGCTCCTTTCATTCATTGTTAAATTTGTGAGAGTCATCCACATTCGTAGCTCCAGTTCATTCATTTTTGTAAGAATTCCATTGTTTGAATAGACCAAAATTAACTCTTGGTTATTAACTTTCAGTATATTCTTGGTTAAAATTTGGGTCATTTTAAATTTGGCTATTAGAGTAATGTGACAAATGTCACTTGACATGTTTACTTATATACCTGAGCGTGAGGTTCTCTGGGATATCTATCTAAGAATAAAAGTGCCAGGTCAGAAGATACAGATATTCTTGATTTTACTAGATCATGCCAAGCTATGTTCCAAAGTAATTGTACCTGTGTATACTCCTATGAGTAGTATATGAGAATTTGATTGCACCACATCCTTGAGTGCAGATTTAAAAATTTTTGCGACTCTAGTGGGTTTGTATCTGTCATTGAAATTCTGTTTCCATCTCCTTGATTACTAATGAGTTTGTGTGTGTGTGTGTGTGTGTGTGTGTGTGTGTGTGTGTTGTGTATGTATATATGCATGCACCATTTAGAACTTTTCTTTTATAGATCCTGTTCATGTCTTTGGCTTATTTTTCTATTGGTTTGTTAATTTTTCTCTTCTGGTTAGATGGGTTTTTTGGTATATTGTAGTTACTATATTTGTGTTTTAGGTATCTTTTGCTGTGTGGCTTGTTTTCACTCTTTTTCAAGAACTTTTGATGAATAAAAGTTCCTAGTTTTAAAGTAGTAGAATTATTAATCTTTTACTTTATGATGGATATTTTTTGTGAGCTATTACAAAATATCCTTCTGGGAGCACCTGGGTGGCTCAGTTGGTTGAGCATCTGACTTTTGATTTCAGCTCAGGTCACGATTTCAGGGTTATGAGATTGAGCCCTGTGCCTGGCTTCATGCTGAACATGGAACCTGCTTAAGATTTTCTCTCTTTCCCATAGCCCAGCTAGCCCTCTCTCTCTCAAAAAAATAAAAAATAAAAAAATAAAAATAAAATAAATCCTCTGTACCTTTCATTCATGAATATATTCTTCTATACAAGTATTTTTAAAAAGCTTTTTAGTGTTGCCTTCCATACTGAGGTTTTTGTCCTACCTATACTTGATTTCTCTCATGATCTTCAAATAGGGGTCCAGTTTCTTGTAGTTGTTTTCACAAGATTAATTGTAAAGTTTATTTTCTCCCCCACTAAAGTGCTGCTTTTATGAAATACAATTTTCTTTTTTTATATGTGGGCATATTTTTGTACTTTCTATATTTAAACCTTGTGATAATACCACATTATTTTAATTATACTTGCTTTTAATGCATCTTGCTACCTAGTGGAGAAAATATTTTCATCTTCTCTTTAAGAATGGCATGACTCTTCATGGTCTTATGTCTTTCTAATTAGCTTGACAGCCCTCTCTTCTCAGATAGGTTGGAATTTTTATTAAGATTGCATTGAATTGGGGCGCCTGGGTGGCTCAGTGGGTTAAAGCCTCTGCCTTTGGCTCAGGTCATGATCCCAGCATCCTGGGATCGAGCCCCGCGTCAGGCTCTCTGCTCAGCAGGGAGCCTGCGTCTCCCCTCTCTCTCTGCCTGCTCTCTGCCTACTTGTGATCTCTGTCTGTCAAATAAATAAAATCTTTAAAAAAAAAAAAAAAGATTGCATTGAATTTATAGATCATTTGGGGAGAAAACTGACATGTTTACAGTGTTGAGTTTTCTCATTATGTTTCCTGATAATGTCCTGATCACAGAGTTGTAGACAAAGTAGAAGTGGCCATTGTTGCACCTCCCCAGTTCCTGCAAGTCCCTCCCCTTCTGGCTAAAGTGACTTGCAGTGGATTTAAAGGGCTGGCATTCCTTTTCTCAACGTGTTCATTTTTCTTTTTCCCATTTGGGAGCCAGATGTTAAAGAATAGGACATTCGAAAACAACTACACATACGGAAAAGTTAGAAAGTGACCATGCATACTCAGGGAAAGGCTCCAAAAAGACCTGAGAAGACCTGAAGTTTATATCCAAGGGTGGTCCTCAGCTCAGAAGCCTACAATGATCAAAACAACAAAAACAGTAACAAAAATTAGCAAACCCTGAGGAAGGGGAGAGACTCTGATTTCTAGAGTTAACACATTATTATTAGAATTATATAAAATGTCCAGTGTTCTAGCAAAAAATCATAAGGTATAAGAAACAAGGAAAATATGGCCCATTAAAGGGAAAAAAAAAACCAACAGAAACTGTTCCTTAAAAAGACCAGATGATATATATGCTAGACAGAGATTAAAACAACAGTCTTAAAGATAGACAACTAAAGGAGTGTATGGAGAAAGTTCCTAAAACTATATATGAACAGAATGGAAATATCAATAAAGAAATAGAAAATCTAAGAAGATGCCAAAAAGAAACTCTGGAGCTAAAAAGTACAAAAATCTAAATGAAAAATTCACTAGAGGGATTCAATGAGGGGTTTGAGCCAGCAGAAACAATCAGCGAACTTGAAGATAGGATAATGGGAATTATACAGTCTGAGGAATGAAAGAAGAAAGGTTCAAGGGAAGTAAATAGAGCTTAAGGGACCTTTGGGACACTATGAAGGAGCCAAACATATGCATTGTGGGAGTCCCAGAAAAAGCAGAGAAAAAGAGACAATATTTGAAGAAACAATAGCTGAAAAACTTTCCAAATTTTATGAAAGGGCAACATACAAGAAGCTCAACAAACTTAATGTAGGGAGAATTCAGAGACCCACACCAAAACACATTCTAATCAAACTTTCAAATGTCAAAGATGAAGAATCTTGAAAGCAATAAGAGAGTAGCAACTAATTACACACAAGTGATCCCCAATGAGATGATGAGATCTCATCAGAAACATTAGATATCAGAAGGTAGTGGGATTATATATTCAGAATGCCAAAAGACAAAAACTGTCAACCAAGAACTCTATATCCAGTAAAACCGTGCTTCAAAAGTGAGGAAAAATTAAGTCATTTTCAGATAAAAGCTGAGGGAATTTGTGACCGCTATACCTGATCTGCAAGAACTGTTTATGGAAGGACACTTGACAATAGCTAGAAGCCATATAGAGAAATAAAGAACAAAGGTAAATATATGGGCAATTGTAAAAGCTATTATTGTAACATTGGTTTGTAACTACTTTTTGTCTTCTGTATGATTTAAAAGACCAACACAATTAGTGAAAGCAACCCACAGTTATTAGTCTAGAAGCTAGTATTTATTCTAACTTGGTTTGTAGCTCCAAATCATGTTTTCTGCGTATTTTAAATGACTAATGCATTCAGAGGCAGTTTGTTTTTTAGCACAAATGTATGAAGGTGTGATTTTGTGACATTGACAATCACAGGGGGCGAGGACTGAGATGTCAAGGAGTAAAGTATTTGTATGTCACTGAAATTAAGCTGGCATAAATTTAAATTAGAGTGTTACAACTTTAAAGCATGTATTTATAATTTTATAACTTTAGTGTTAGTAAATGTAACACCCCCACCAGTAATAACAAAGAAAATAGCTGTACATAAAAATATATACCGTCAACCCCTGAGCAACATATGTTTAAACTGTGCAGATCCATTTATACATAGATTTTTTACAGTACAGTATTATAAATATATTTTCTCTCCCTTATGGTTTTCTTAATAAATTTTTTTTCTCTACCTTACTTTATTGTAAAAATAGAGTATATAGTATAATGTGAAATTATGTGTTAATTAGCTGTTTATGTTATCGTTGAGCTTTTGGCTAATGGTAGGCTGTTAAGTTTTGGGGGTGTCAAGAATTATATGCATATTTTTGACTGCATGGTACCCTTTAACTCCTTTATTGTTCAAGGGTCAACTGTACATAAAAGGGTATGAGAAAGGAATTTAAACATTGTTCTACAAAAATCAACTAAAAGAAGTGAAAATAACAAAAAGAAGACAATAGTAATGCAGGAAAGGAGAGACAAACTTGACTTCCTATAAACTATAGTAATCAAATGGCATCATAGTATTGGTGAAAGAATAAATATGTCCATGGAACTGAATAGAAACCCTAGAAATGGACCTACACAAATATACTCAGGTGATCCTTGAAAAATGAGCAAAGGTAATCCAATGGAGAAATGATAGTCTTTTTCATAAATGTTGCTGGAACAACTGAACATACACATGTTAAAAAAAAATCTAGATATGATGTTACAGCTTTCACAGAAATTAACTCAAAATAGATCATAGTCCTTAATGTAAAAATGCAAAATTATAAAACTTTTAGAAGATAACAGAGGGAAAAATCTAGGTGATGTTGGGCTCAGAATGAGTTTTCACAGAAATACCAAAAATATAATCATGAACAAAAAAGTTGAAAATTGGTTTTCATTAAATTAAAAACTTCTGTTGAGTGAAAGACAGTTATGAGAATGAAAAGACAAGCAATGTACTGGGAGAAAAGTCTTTGTAAAACAAATGTCTGATAAAGGACTTACATATAAAATGTACAAGGAACTCTTAAAACTCAACAATAACAAAACAACCCAATTTAATGTGGCCACGAAATCTGAATAGATGCCTCACTAGAGAAGATAAACTCATGGTAAATAAGTATATGAAAAGTTGCTCAGTGTTGTATGTCATTAGGGTATTACAAATTTCAACAACCATGAGACATAACTACATATTCCTTAGAACGACTAAAATCCAAAACATTGACAGCTTCGAATGCTATCAAGAATGTGGGCAACAGGAACTCACTTTCGTTGTTGGCGAAAATGCAAAATGATAACAGCTACTTTGTGTGTTTGTATGTTCGCTTTGTTTTAGAGAGAAAGAGTGTGAGCGTGGGTGGGGGAAAAGAGGCAGGGGAAAACAATCTGAAGCAAAGTCCACAATAAGTGCCAAGCCCAATGTGGTGCTTGGTCTCATGACACTGAGATCATGACCTGAGCTGAAATCAAGAGTCAGACACTTAACTGACAGAGTCATGGAGGTGCCCCATGTACAGGCAGTTTGGAAGACAGTTTGGTACTTTCTTATGAAACTAAACATAGTCCTACTGTATGATCCAGTAATTGTTCTCCTCGATATTTACCCAAATAAATTGAAGACTTGTTTATACAAAAACCTGCCCATAAATGTTTATGGAAGTTTCATAATTGCCAAAACTTGAAAACAACTAAGATGTCCTTGTGAATGGATAAACCTAAATGTGGTTCATCCATACAAAGGACTGTTATTCAGCAATGAAAAACAAAGTAGCTACTGGGTGATAGAAAGACATGAAGGAACCTGAAAGGAGCCAGTTTGAAGAATTTACATACTTTATGATTTCAACTATATCACATTCTGGAAAAGGCAAATAGCGCAGTTAACAAAACAATCAGTGGTTGCCTGGATTTGGGGAGGGAGGAGGAATAGTTAGGTGGAGTGCAGGGCATTTTTAAGTAAATATAAATATATCCCACATCTTCTTTATCCACTCAACACTTGATGGACATTCAGGCTCTCTCCATAGTTTGGTTATTATTGATAATGGTGATGTAAATATTGGGGGCAGGTACCCCCTTTGAATCTGTATTTTTGTATCCTTTGGGTAAATACCTAGTAATGAATGCAATTGCTGGATCAAAGGTAGTTCTGTTTTTAACCTTTGAGGAACCTCCAAATTATTCTCCAAAGTGGCTGCACCAGTTTGCATTTCCACCAACAGTACAAAAAGATTCCCTTTTCTCATCCTCACCAACACCTATTGTTTCTTGTGTTGTTAATTTTAGCCACTCTGAAAGGTGTGAGGTGGTATTTCATCATGGTTTTGATTGCATTTCCCTGATGATGAGTGATGTTGAGCATTTTTTCATGTGTCCGTTAGCCATCTGGGTGTCTTCTTTGGAAAAGTATTTGTGTCTTCTGCCTATCTCTTAACTGGATAATTTGGTTTTTGGTTGAGTTTGGTAAGTGCTTTATAGATTTTGGATACTAACCCTTTATCAGATATGTCGGTTGCAAATGTCTGCATATCTACAAAAACAGGTCATTTTTGGTTCTCTTGGCTCTGTACCTATGAGTGGGATTTCTGGGTTATGTGGTAACTATTTTGGACACTTCTGCTGGGCATATAACTTGGTGTGAACTTGCAAGGTAATGTGGCACTTCTGTGTTAACTTTTTGAAGAAGTGCAAAACTATTTTACAAAGCAGCTGTACTGTTTTGCATTCCCATCAGCAAGCTATGAGAGTTCCAAATATCCTCACTTCTGTGTAGCTTTAATTTGCATTATCTTAAGAGCAAATTTGAGTATATTTTCATAAAAGTAATGTAAATAACATTACTTTTCTATCAACTGTCCATTTTCCTAATCCATTTTTATATAGTGCTGATGTCCACTTTTATATAGTAGTCTTTTTTAAAGTGTGATTTTAGAAACTGTTTATATATTAGGTATATAATAGGCATATTGCAATTTTGCAAATATTTGTCATTTTATTTACCCTATCTTGTTTTTGACATGCCACCTTTTTTTTTTTTTAACTGTGTTGTGGTCATTTTTAAAAAATATTTTATTTATTTGACACAGAGAGAGAGATCACAACAAGCAGAGAGGCAGGCAGAGAGAGAGGGGAAAGCAGGCTCTCTGCTGAGCAGAGATCCTTATGTGGGGGCTGAGATCATGACCTGAGCTGAAGGCAGAGGCTTAACCTACTAAGCCACCCAGGCGCCCCTGTTGTGGTCATTTTATCAAATTATGATTAGGAAATTTTTCCCCATTCCTAGTTTATAAGAAGAAGTCACCCAACGTTTATTCTAATTATTTATATGGTTTCATTTGTATAAATATGGACACCTGATCCATTTGGAATTTGTCCAAGTATATTATATGAGGAATCAATGCAATGCAGTTTTATCTTTTTTTTCTATATTTTGACCCATATGTTTATCAGTTTCATTTATTAAAAAGAGTTCATGTTTTTCCTACTGATTTGAGCTGCTAGTTTTATGGTGTACTAAATTTGCACTTATAATGGTGTCGTTTCTGGATATTTCTTTTCTGCTCCATTGATTCCATTGATATCTTATGAGTATGATAGTTTGAGTCTACTCTTACTACCTTAGAGATTTTTATTTTTTAAGGAATATAAACATAAAATTTACTTTCTTGTTATCTTACAGACTGGGAATCCAGGTGTGAGACCAAAAAGCTGTCCTCAAAGAGAGGAATTTATGAAATTGAATCATCTCAATGGGAGATAATAGAACAGCTTACAAGACATAAGTGTAAAAGTTTTCGAGATTATAGGGAATGCAAAGACCAGGTTGAAAGCCAATTAGGAAATAAAGAGGGACTTTTCAGGCAACTATTAATCACTTGTAAAGAAATTCCCAATTTTAGCCAGACCACATCCCTTACATTAAAACGAAGAATTCATTTTCCTGAGAAATCCTATGAATGTAAAGCATGCAGAAAATACTTTATCCACAGCTTTCAACTTACAGAACATCAGCAAGATCATTCCAATGAAAAATTCTATGAATGTAAAGAATGTGGAAAGGCCTTTATTCAGAGCTCAGAACTTATTTATCATCAGAGAGTTCATGTTAAGAAACCCTATGAATGTAAGGAATGTGGAAAAACCTTTATTTGTGCCTCACAGCTTACTTATCATCAAAGAGTTCATACTGGGGAGAAACCTTATAAATGTAAAGAGTGTGGGAAGGCCTTTATTCGTGGCTCTCATCTTACCCAGCATCAAAGAATTCATACTGGTGAAAGACCCTATGAATGTAATGAATGTGGGAAGGCCTTTTTTCGTGGCTCTCAACTTACTTACCATCAGAGAGTTCATACTGCAGAGAAACCCTATCAATGTAAAGAATGTGGAAAGGCCTTTATTCGTGGCTCCCAACTTACGGAACATCAGAGAATTCATACAGGTGAGAAACCCTATGAATGTAAGAAGTGTGGGAAAGCCTTTAGTTATGGCTCACAGCTTACTCTACATCACAGACTTCATACTGGCGAAAAACCCTATAAGTGTAAAGATTGTGAGATGTCCTTTATTCGTGGCTCCCAACTTACTGAACATCAGAGGATTCATACAGGTAGGAAACCACATGAATGTAAGCAATGTGGAAAGACCTTTAACTATGGCTCACAGCTTATTCGTCATCAGAGGATTCATACTGGTGAAAAACCCTATGAATGTCAAGAATGTGGGAAATCATTTATTCGTGGCTCACAACTTACCGAACATCAAAAAATTCACACTGGTGAAAAACCTTTTGAATGTAAGGAATGTGGGAAAGCCTTTATTCGTGGCTCACATCTTACTCAGCATCAGAGGATTCATACTGGTGAAAAACCCTATGAATGTAAAGAGTGTGGTAAGGCCTTTATTTATAGCTCACAATTGACTCAACATCAGAGAATTCATACAGGTGAGAATCCCTGTGAATGTAAGCAGTGTGGGAAGATCTTTATTTGTGCCTCACAACTTAATCTACATCAGATTTCTCACTCTGGTAGGAAACCATATCAATGTAAGGAATGTGGTAAAGCTTTTATTCGTGGCTCACAGCTAACTTACCATCAGAGAGTTCATACTGGTGAGAAGCCCTATGAATGTAATGAATGTGGGAAAGCCTTTATTCGTGGTTCACATCTTACTCAGCACCAGAGAATTCATACTGGTGAGAAACCATACAAATGTAATGAATGTGGGAAGGCCTTTAATCGTGGCTCACAACTTACTCAACATCAGAAAATTCATTCTGGTGAAAAGCCTTATAAATGTAATGAATGTGGTAAGGACTTTAGACGTCACTCACACCTTACCCAACATCATAAACTTCATAATTGAGAAAATACAAATTTATAAAATCTTTTGTCTACCCATTGGTACTCAGTTTTGGAATATCAGATAATTACAGATTATGGCGGTAGGAATCTCTCTTTACTTTCACTTGTAGGTAACTATCAGAAAATTGAAACAAGGAAAGACTAGATTAATACAATGGAGAATCAGTTTCCATCATATTTCAGTTTTTGTTATACATTAGTGAATTCATGCAAGAGCAGAACCATAGAATGTAGGGTTTTCTTGTTTGGCATCATTCTCTTGTTTAGCATGATCTGAGCCCCACCATTTACTACATGTGCGTTCCTTTGGGAAAGTTAGTTAACCCCTATTGCTTTAGTTTTTTTCATTCGTAAAACTATCATTCTCATTATAATGGTTTAAAAGACATAAATACATATAAAGCCTTAAAGCATTGTATAATAAATAGATTATACTTAATAAACATTAGTAGTTATTACTGAAATTTTATTTTTACTCACTATATAAAAAATTATTTTTCCTTCTGGGCTCAAGAGTAATCTTTCTTTTTTTTTCAGTTGAAGTGTATTTGACATACAATGTTATATTAGTTTCAGATGCACACTGTAGTGATTGGACAGTTCTGCACCTTACTCCTACTGACCACAATATACTGGTTACCATCTGTCTTTATATAACATTGTTACAATATTATCACTATGTTCTATTAACTATGCTGTACTTTTAGAGTACAATTTCTGGGTCTTACAATAAATTCATGTTTTCTTTTATAAGAATTGGACAAGTTATTTTTGAAAATGGCTTTACCATTTTATATTCACACCAGTAGCATATGACTTCCTTAGCCTTTGGGGTTGTCATCACTTTCTGTTTTAGCCATTGTGATAGGTGTGTAATGATGTCTCTTCTTGATCTTAATTTGCATTCCTCTAATGGCCTAATAATCTTGAATACCTTTTCATGTGCTTGTCATCTCTCTATCCATTTTGGTGAAATACCTGTGTCTTTTACTGATCTTTGAATTGTCTTATTTTTTATTGTTGGGTTTTGAAAGAGTATTTTCTATATTTTTGATGATACTAGTCCTTCGCTATGTGGTTGTAAAAAATTTTTAAGATTTTATTTATTCATTTGACAGACAGAGATCACAAGTAGGCAGAGAGGCAGGCAGAGACAGAGGAAGGGAAGCAGGCTCCCAGCTGAGCAGAGAGCCCGATGCAGGGCTTGATCCCAGGACCCTGAGATCGTGACCTGAGTCAAAGGCAGAGGCCTTAACCGACGGAGCCACCGTGGCACCCCAATATTTTTCTTGATGTGTAGCTTTTTTTTTTTCCCCCACCTTTTAGTTGGGTCTTTTGAAGAGCAAAAGTTTTCAACTTTGATAAGTTCTACTTTATCAATTTTTCCTTTTATGGGTTTTGCTTTGGTGTCAAATCTAAAGACTCCCTGCCTACCCAGATTCCAAAGACTTTTCCTGTTTTTGCATAAATTTTTATTGTTTTACACATAAGTCTGTAATCTATTTTGAGTTAATTTTTCATGTATGTTGTATGCTCTAGCTTAATGTTCTTAGTTTGTTTTGGCTAATGGATGTCCATGTGTACAAGCATCATTTGTTGAAAAGACTGTCTTTCCTCCATTAAATTGCTTTTGTACTCTCTCAGAAATCTATTGAATATATTTGTGTATATCTTACTTCAAGTTTTTCTACTTCCATCCAATGATCTGTCTTTCCATCTGCCAATATCACACTGCTATGATTACTGTCATTATATAGCATGTCTTAATAGGATTTCTCCTACTTTATTCTTTTTCAAGCTGATTTACCTATTCTTAGTTTTTGCCATTTCAAATAAATACTAGAATAAGCTTACCTATATTTACAAAATCTTGCTGAGGTTTTAATAGGAATTCTGTTTAGAAATAATTTATATCTTTGGTAAGTCTTTTAATCCATTAACCTAGTATATCTTTCCATTTTTAGGTTATTGTTGTTAGTTTAATTGTGTTCTCCAAAATATTCAGGTGACAACTCCCAGTACTTATGAGTGTGATCTAATTTGGAAATAGGGTCTTTGCTGATATATTCAAGTTAAGACAGAGATCATATTGGATTAGAGTGGGCACTGCTGTAATGGCTGGTGTCCTGATATGAAGAGAGAAATGTGGACACAAACTCATAAGGAAGGCCATGTGAAATCAGACAGATTGGAATGATGCATCAACAGGCCAAGGAATACCAAGAATTAGTAGTAACTACTAGAAACTAGAGGGGAAAGAAAGGACCCAACCCCTGCCTTCAGAGAGAACATGGCCCTGCCAATACCTTAATTTTGGACTTCTGTTCCCCAAAACTGTAATAGATTTGTGCTGTTTGAAAACACAAAGCTTGTGTTTTTATGTTTGTTATGGCAGCCCTAGGAAATTGACATCATCTTTTAAAAATTTTTTATTAGGATTTGTAGTTTTTGGCATACAGATCTTATACATGATTTGTAAGTGTATATACTTAAGTATCTCACTTTCTTTGGAAAAGCTCTAAATAGTGTTGTGTTTTTAAATCCAATTTTAGGGGCGCCTGGGTGGCTCAGTGGGTTAAGCCACTGCCTTCGGCTCAGGTCATGATCTCAGAGTCCTGGGATCGAGCCCCGCATCAGGCTCTCTGCTCAGCAGGGAGCCTGCTTCCTCCTCTCTCTCTGCCTGCCTCTCTCTCTGCCTGCCTCTCTGCCTACTTCTCTGCCTGCTTGTGATCTCCCTGTCAAATAAATAAATAAAATCTTTAAAAAAAATAAATAAATCCAATTTTTACCTGTTCATCATTAGTATATACAAACTATATAAATATATATCTGTATGTTGATCTGGTAATCTGTGACCTTGCTGCAGAACTCACCAATTCATTCTGGAAAGTTTTGTTTCATATTTTAGTAAATTCCTTGGGGCTTTCTACATAGACAATCGTGTCATCTATGGATAGTGACAGTTTTATATCTTCCTTTCTAGTCTGTGTCTTTTTGTCTGTGTCTTTTCTGTCTTTTGTTTGTGTTATTATGCTGGCTGTAACTGTTAGTGCTGTGTTGGATAACACAGACAAGAGCAGACATCCTTGTGTTTTTCTGAATCTTAGGGGGAAATACTGAGTCTTTCACCATGAAGTACAATGTAAGCTGTTGGCTTTATGTAGATGTTCTTTTTTAAATTGAAGTTTCCCTCTGCTTCTAACTTTTAATTTTTATTTTTTTAAATAATTTTTTATTATGTTAGTCACCATACAGTACATCATTTGTTTTTGATGTAGTGTTCCATGATTCATTGTTTGCATATAACACCCAGTGCTCATTGCAATACATGCCCTCCTTAATACCCATCACTGGCTCACCCATCTCCCCAGCCCCCTCCCCTCTAAAACCCTCAGTTTGTTTCTCTGAGTCCATAGTCTCTCATGGTTTGTCACCCCCTCTGATCCCCCCTGTTCATTTTTTCCTTCCTTCTCCTAATATCCTCCATGCTATTCCTTGTGCTATTCCACACATAAGTGAAACCATATGATAATTGTCTTTCTCTGTTTGAATTATTTCATTTACAATAATCTCCAGTTCCACCCATGTTGATGCAAAAGTTGGGTATTCATCCTTTCTGATGGCTGAGTGATATTCCATTATATATATGGACCACATCTTCTTTATCCATTTGTCTGTTGAAGGGCATCTTGGCTCCTTCAACAGTTTAGCTTTTTTTAAAAATAACGAATGCATATTGGGTTTTATCCAGATATATGATACGATTATATGACTTTTTTCTTCAACCTATTTATATGGTGGATTACATGGATTGATTTCTTAATGTAAAACCAGTCCTCACATAACTGTAATAAATCTCACATAGTCATGTCATATAATTTCTTATTGGAATTGATATGCTAATATTTTGTTGGAGATTTTTCTTAGATTATAAAAAATAATTGTCATATTATTTTTTTCCTTCCTTCCTCTCTCTCTACCCCCTAGTCTTTGTCTAATTTTGTATTGTATAATATCGGCTTAATAGAATGAGTTGGGAGGTGTTTCTTTTCTGTTTTCTGAAAGAAGTTGTTTAAAATTTGTGTTCATTTTTCAGTTTGTGAAAATTTGCAAGTGAAGCCTTTTGGGCCTGAGGATTTTTAGGGAGCTTTACAATTATAAATTCAGTTTCTTTAATGGTTATTCATTTATATGGCTACTTAGGTTATCTGTTTCATCATAGTTGAGATTTAGTAGCTTGTGGTTTTTGAGAAACTTAGGCTAAATAGCCTTAAACACTTAAAATTTTCCAGCCTCTTCCCTCAATAAAATTTTTTTTAAAAAGATTTTATTTATTTATTTGACAGACAGAGATCACAAGTAGGCAGAGAAGCAGGCAGAGAGAGGAAGCAGGCTCCCTGCTGAGCAGAGAGCCCTATGCGGGGCTCGATCCCAGGACCCTGGAATCATGACCTGAGCTGAAGGCAAAGGCTTTAACCCACTGAGCCACCCAGGCACCCCCCTCAGTAAAATTTTTGACTCACATTCCCTTATAATGATGATTTATCATTATAAGAATATAAGAATGGTGTCAAATTAAACAAAAATAAAAAAATTAAAGACCAGATTCCCTTATAATGATAGATATAAATATTCTACATAAAATATAAATAATATCTACCAATTAAAAGAATACAAAGGAATACTATTCTTCAGGAATGTCCAAGATTTAATCTGTTACAGATTAATTACATTTCAAAAGTCTACAAATTATATTTGATTTTTTTTAAGATTTTATTTATTTATTTGACAGAGATCACAAATAGAGAGGCAGGCACAGAGAGAGAGAGAGAAGCAGGCTCCCTGCTGAGCAGAGAGCCTGATGTG